CACCCTCAGAACCCCATCATGGTGCAGTGATTTACGCTATAATGGTAACTGTTTTTTCACTGACTACTATCCAAGAGACCTTTCTCGCATGATATGGTCTTAAGGGAACAAGCATTGAAGCCAGTGTAGCTCGTTGGGTTATTGTGATAGCAGCTATCAACCTGGCATAAGACTCAAAACCACATGAAGAAATTCCGATGAGTCAAGCTAAGAATTGGCATCCACATATGTTAGTCAACGGAACATTCTCACAGGATAAAAACCAACTGCTAACAAGTGGAAGACTTCATCTGGCACTTCTTGTACACCGACTCTTGAACACCAGAAAGAAATACTTATTGTAAATATTTAGTCATTTGGTAAAAAGCAAGTTGTTACTGTTTTCAAATTGAACTCAAATACCTAACGCCAAGTCAGTGTGAGAATTAGTTTATGAGCATTTCTGAAATTTGCTACTCACATGTTTCGATAAAAGATTTTTAGTAAGTTTCTCTCGGTTACTGTAGTCTAGTGTAGATTTACAGTCAAACTATAGCATAATGCATGTAAGTCTCGTCACCAATTGATTCTATAAATAAAAAGTTAACTTGACACCTTGTTAACATAACTGTTTGGCTATCTTTACAAATTCCACAGTAGTGGAAATAGGCTGTTCCATTATATTATTTGAAGTAGAAATACTTATTATATTGGAAAGCAAAAGATATTAGGTGACTGTTATAATCAACTGACATTAATTCTTAGTTAATGCATCTTTCATATTTCTCACTGCTCATCAATCAGCAAACTATATATGCAATTTTCAGGCACTCATTTTGCTAAATTTTTAAAATTATGATCCCCTGAAAAATTTGATGTTCTCAAAAGCAAACGTGAGCCTAATTTTAGAGCACAACTTGATACTAATCACCCTTTTGATTACCTTTTACATCATGATAAAATGATTAGTTACGGTTGACAGAGCTCGCTACAGTTGTATTAAGAGCATAGCCAAAAAATCTTTCGGTTTATAACATCTAAATATGATTTTCCTTTTTAAGATTGTAATTTACATAGCTGTGATCTATTCCAAGTTGTCGCAATGAACTTTTATGTGAAATATCAGCTGTTTGCATTTACTTCAATGAAATCCGAGTGAAGATAAATGTCTGTATAGGCTGTCCCAAATGAAACCTCTAATTAAAATCCTTACACCAATTTTTTTTGGTAATTTAAGAACAAATTCAAAGCTTTCCTTTCAACATAGAGTTCAAATCATCTAGAAGAAGACCAACAATATCAACCGGAAAACACTATGTATCAATCCACCTGAACTTATGGTATCATACTTTTTTTTAGCTAAAGATGCTGATCAAAAACTTGTTATTCGTCTATTCTCTTAACTACTTTATAACATATAAGTAGTCAGACATGTTGAATCAATAAAATTGTACGAAATGTACATATGATGAGAACAGACGCTGACCAGTATAAAAGATACTTTTGGTAAATCCTGATCACTACTGCATATTTGAACGATAACTATGCAAAACTACAAAAGTTGCCAAAGAAACTCTTGGGTTGGTCGGAAAATTATTATTTTCCAAGATGATAATCCATTAAAATATGTTGATTTCCAAAAAAATTTTCTCTAGAATTAGGTTTGCGATGAACAACTTTCACATTCAGAGAAAACCTAACCACAAAGATACCCGATGGTCACTAACTTGCTATTGCATTCATCAGAGACTAATGCGAAAGTGAATTATTATACTCCTCCAAACGGTTATCTGAGCACAGTTGTAGTAGACAATCACCGTTATCTATGCATTCAGCTGGAATTCCTACCTAATTGCCTTTCTAGCTGACTCAGCCTACCCACTTGTGCATTGAGATATCTTGCAACAACAACCAAGTTTGAACCTCTGGCACTCAGGAGGCTAGACAGTTTTCGGTAGAACTCATCCTTCACTTTATCCGAGCTGCAGTCAGTGGGTGCGTAAGCAGAAATCACAAAGAGACAACGGTGAGTTTCATGATTCCTTTTAGTTCTCACTGTGCCGTTCAGCCAGACAGCGCATAGGCGACTGTCATCTGGGATCCAGTTTAATAGTGAGCTTTTTTCCCTGGTGTTTAATCTTATGCCTACACCTGCAAGACCGAAAGAACTAGCCATCGAATCTCTAGAAACTCGAAGAGTGTTTTTCGGATTCACCATATTGGTCGGGAGAGATAAAGTGAATTACGACACTTAGGTTTTGCATGCGTGTCTCAAAAACACAGCACACATCCATGGTCCGAGTCGCCAGTTCCGGCCAATGAAGCTTATTGGTCAATTTGGCCGAGGGTGTGGACATTGAAGACTACTATGTGTCATTTGGAGCGTGGTTTACGGAGACCAAGGATGCCATTATGTGGACTCAAATCATTGTCGAGAGCTGTAGAGCTAGGGAAAATTAACGACGATGTAAGACTGTTAACTGAGAGATGTAAAGGGAGGTTATAAGGTAAGGACGAGGGAGATGGATAGTGGTTCGAGGGAACTTGAGTCCTGACAGAGTTGGGGGGGGCGGTTGACACTTCCTGGCTCCCCACACCGTGGAACGCTAGGTCTTTTTGAGGTAACTGAAAAAGAAGAGTTTATATGTGAGCACAGAGCCGACGGGATATCTGCTAGAGGCCGGTCACGTATGGCCTTCTTGATGCCCCATAAGTGGGCTATGTTATGGAAGATGTAGTCGGACATCCGTTCTGTGGTTCTGAATAACCACTAACCGCTAATAACTGATCTAAGCCACCGTAGTCCATCATCATCTCTTTGTTTAAGAACATGTTAAGGTAAATGCTTTTGATTTAACTACTATCCAACATACCTTTTTGGTATAGTAGGACGCCAAGGAAACAAGCGTTCCACCAGAATAGCTCCTTGGGTCATCGTGATATAAAAGCTCAACCACCACGTCAAGGTACCAGCTATCAGTCGAAAGTATTACTTTCACCAAGCAGATTGAATCCAATTTACCAACATTCGCTTTTATTGACTTAATGGTGAAAAGGCACCAGGAAAATAAATTAAAAAAATATTTTTACATAATCAATACATTTTGATACAAATAAATTATCTGTCTACACATCCTTCGACCAATAGAGTAACAGTCGCTAGAAACTCAATTACCGGAGCTAATAATCTTGTTACAGTGGGGAAAGGTTTTTTTTAAGAGTCAGTACACGTTTTTGAACTATTCTATGTATATGTCTGGAACTTTAACCTTGATTATTTCCTTGAAAAAGCTCAGACCAGACTTCCTTGAAATATACTGCAATTATTTTATTTTAAACACATTGAGATTTAGACAAACACAACCTATATCTGATGTCAAGTTTTTACTCAGCATCCAGTATCTGTAATACTTACTGTTCAGTCAATTGTTGATTATAATTCATATAAATTAGTTTAGAACACTCAAAAATTCAGTGATGAGAAGCGTCCAGCAGCGCTCCCAAGGTTAATGCTTGGGAAAAATAGTTTTCAAAAGAAAAGCATGGCTTTGAGCTTCCAAGTGAAGAAATGACAAAGGGAAAAAACAGAGATTCACAAAACATCACTTTTTTAAGCTGGAATAATTTAAACTTAAATTTACAATAGCGAAAAAGACTGAATAAAACGCCCTCGTTTATGAATTTCAAGATTTTTTATGAGTGAGAGCGTCTGCTATGGATGCACACGAAATGATTTCAATAGACAGATAACAGTGAGTCAACTTTCTGCCTGAAAAGACAATGTAATTGAGAATAGAGCTGCTGATTCCATTCTCTTCCTAGCTCAAGCTGATAAACGCTCATAAGCCCTTCTTAATGGTGACCAATATGCTTAGCTCCACAACAGTTAAATAACTTGGCAAATGTTAGCAATTTCAGAAACATGTCTCCAATGATAATAAGGAAAAATCAGGTTAGTTTTTGCCTGAAAAATGCAGATAAGAGCATGTTAAACTTACAGGTAATATGAAAATAATACGATTATGAGTCGTTTGTGGGTATCCTAATAAAATGTAGTGGCAATCAAATTAACGCAGTTTGGAAGTATCATACAAAAATATATATATAGAATAAATCCGCCTATTTCTATGAAAAACACTAAATGAGCAACCTAACACGAAAAAATAACTACCGGACGCTTTAAGAACAAGATTAGTGACTAGTAGACGAAAAACTAAACAGGAGAACCACAACCGAAATAAACTAATCCAGATCATTTTTCTTGTGTCTGTAAACATTGGTCACCGATGAACATATTTACTGCTTTAAATGAAAACAAGACAAAGTATTAACACATTAAAACTTCGATAAGTTAAAGCAAACTTCTTAGGACAAAAGACTCAGAAATTTGAACCTGGATCCCAACCAGCACTATTTGCACTCAACTAGACATTACTGAATCTAAGCAGAATAGTATACCATCTATGAAAAAACACCAAGACACAGTAGCAATGTTAAGAATGATCAGTTATAAAATATCGATAAGTAGATATCTTAGTTTGACGAAAAACTCCAAACAAAGGTTTATTCATTGATCTTGATGACTAGCAGAGGAATCCAGGAAGCGGTTTTCTTCTATCTGGGACTCATCAGCTGGATGTAACTGCGCCTCAGTAAGTGATGTTGTTCCCACTTAAACTCGAATCCAGCACCCATCACTTCAAATGACAAGGCGTTATCCACTAAGCTACTGGGTCAAGAGACCCATCCATCTCTTGTGCGATGAGTATCAGTTGTTGTGTGATACTTGTAATCTCCCGTCGTTATATAGGGTCGAATTGTTTGATCTATGTTGGCAGGTGAGCTCCTATGAGGATGTCTTGATACTGCCGGATATTCTTGATATTCTATTGCGCTTGGTGACTAGCAGAGAAATCCAGGAGGCACGTTTCGTCTTATTTGGGGTTAGTCGGCTGGATGTACCTGCGCCTCAGTGAGTGATGTTGTCCCAACTGAGACCCGAATCATAACAAAAGTTTATTTAGACAACTTAAAAACGTATAGATTAGGTTTGGTTACCAAATAGACATCATATCATAAATAACAAATCCAATTTAGAAATTACAGAATCTTGATCATATTACACTAAGCCGGATTTATATCAACGGAAGAATTAAATGGTCACAACGTTTATTATAAAGATGAAATTGTCGAAATTTTCATAAAGCCATGCTTACAATAATTTTCAGAAGGATTTCAATATGTACAACAGTTGAAAAACAAACCAAGTTTGGAGAGAAGGGCTACCAAAGCAGAATGCATACATTTTTATACCCTCTACATTTTCAAAAGTTCAACTAAACCCTGATCTACTCATTGAAGAAAAAATACCTACAGAATATTCTGAATTTTCGTTATCACAATGGGAAAACCAGAAAAATCCCGTAAATGGAACACTAACTCCGCAAAGCATTAGTTAAAGTAGCAGACTATTTGAATAATTATTTATAAAATACCTAAGATTGAAATAAATGTTCAGTGAAAACAAAAACTATTTCAAATTGTCAGAGTAACACTGCAATCAGAAAAACCACTATACACAAGTATGTTCACAAACATAACAAAAATTCAAGGTATCAAAAACAAAAATAATGAAATCAAAGCAGAGTGAAATCTACACACAACTATACAAAATAAGAACACTACGAAAGATACTCTATGTAAAAAGAAAAGATTGAAAAATGCAGAAAATATAAAATCAGTCTGTGTGTGAATAAAGTTGCACACTCATGGAAATAAATTACGTAATCTAGTTCATCGATTCCACCAAAGTATGACTAGAGCAGAAACAAGTAAAACTCCAGCTCCATAGGTATAATCTATGAATGACTTCCTATTGATGCCTAGATTATCACCAATTAAATTCTTAACAGAAGGTCGAGTATCAACAGATGTCTAAAACAGAGAAAAACAAATAGGTGGAGTATTTAAATATATCCTCAGGCCATATGATATATTACTGTAAGCTGGACAAATTAAATGATAATAAGCTATGATATTATATTCATCTTAGTGACTAGCAGCGGTATCTAAGACGCGTGTTTCCTCCTATCAAGGGTTCGTCAAGTGGATGAACCTGTAGACAGAGGTCGAGCAATTCGGCCCTTGATAACAAAGGGAAATTACAAGTATCAAAACAATAACTGATACCTGTGGTGGTTATCATGGCCCAGTGGTCTACTGGATAGTGCTTTGGCGCCTGAAGCGATGGGTACTGGGGGTTCGAGTTCCAGTGGGAACAATATCAATTACTGAAGTACAGGTGCATCCAGCTGACGAGTCCTAGATAGGAGGAAAAGCGCGTCCTGGATCCCACTGCTAATCACTAAGGTAAACATAACATCATGAATATCCGGTAGTATCGACGCAGCCGCATAAGAGTTCATCTACCAACGGAGTAACGGGAAATTACAAGTATCAAAAAACAACATAGGCTATGATAGTTTAACCAGCAAATCAAATATCAGATGACCGGTTATGCAAAACACATTTCATGCCTATGTTGAATTATATTAATAAAGCAATGAACATAACCGCTAGGATAAGTAACTTGATACCGCAGTACAAAGAGTTTAGTCTACATTAATTCAATGTAGTTGTTTGGAGGTGGTGAATCAACCTCTTACACCTCTGTAACATTAGTTGAATTAAATTTCTTAGAAAGCCTAATCGACAGTATTCAGACCCACATTTAAAAACTCTACTTGTCATTGAGTAATTCTATGAAGGAATATGTTATGATGAAAACAAGGTAAACGCTGAAGACAGACTGGCATCATAATCGATTTGTAAACAAAATCCAAAACTTCCATGGTTATTTGTATTCTAACCAACTCTGTTACTTAATGAAATGAGTCCGAACCTTAGAAAGATGAATCTCTTTAAATTTGCATACCCGCTTAGCTGTCTACAATCAACATGAATCTGATTATGTAAATACTTATCTTTTCCATCTTATTTATCTTAAAGTAGTATACATGGAATAGCACACTGCTTCCAGCTCACTAGGAGCAATCCTGACGGTTAGCTAATCCCTCCGTGCTTTGGAGATCTGCGTCACTAATCAGTGTATGTGGATCTCGTCGACCAGTATTACAGCTAAGTCAACTATGACGATGCATTGGTTAGAATTCGGTGAAGTCATGAGGAGACTTACTGTCGTTGCGCAACTAGGCTCGACCAGTATTTTCCGATGCACATGTCATCTCCCACTTTTGAGGCTAGCAGCTCAGACAACCACACCACTTAACCACACCGCGTTTTCACGTTGACGTTCTGGCACCTAACTACGGTGAGTCATTTGACTACCCAACGGGAGTCATAGTTACTCGTATATTTGTTGAACGATTACTTGGAGAACCAGAACTCAATATGCCTACTAATTCATTCACGTAGAATTAGCAACAAAATACTGAAGCATCCTCTTTTAAAACCGGATCATAAAAGTTGACTGAGTCATAAATTCTAATGAAATAACGTATTATTCCATATTCAATTATTAAAAGTCCAATTGATTCGCTTCTACACTGTTTCATAAGATAATCAAATCAAGCATATACTGTCTAATTTTTTTCGGGTTTAGCTATGAATTCCAAAAGAATGTAAACACTCCTACAAACAAAACAGATGATTCTGTAACAACTTTGAATAAACTGAATGGATTCTGTTAAGAACAAGTACACATTCAGGCTAAATTTATACCAATCACATGATTTCATCATACGTTGATCAGATAGTGAACATATTTCCTAGACCTTATTGACCATAATCATAACATAAACCTCTTAGTATTTCAAAAGATGTTAAAAATAAGGGAGTATTCACTTCACTTAGGAAAATAATAGGACACTAAATTAAGTAGTTCATTAATAAGCGGACCGATTTTGACTGTTATCTCCTTCAACTACACTATACTGGAAAAATGAAGAGTAAACTCAAAAATATATAACCGAAGAGTCAAGAAAATGTGCTACTAGGAACAGTCTAAGATTCTAAAGTCCACAATTATCCGTTAACTGAAGCTTGAGAACAGCAAATTAGAGAAAACCAGCCAGGTTTCAGACAGAGCTGGACGACGGTGCGTCGATTATGTAGTCACCCTTCGAAGGCTCTAGGATGTAGATATAATTACAGGGTAACAGCTGATACTTGCCATATTTGTCAACCTTAAGGCGGTATTCGACTCTGTTGACTATGAAGTGTTGTGGCAGTGTCTGAGTGTGAAGGAAGTATCAAACACGTATATGATGCTAGTGAACCTCTCCACTCGAACTCACGCATACGTGTAAGGTCTTATGGAAAGTTTTCATGTAAATTGACGACAAGTAGTGGTGTCCACCAGGGATGCAAATGTTACTGTTCCTATTTACTTTCGTCACAGACGTACTAATGGACATAACCCTTAGCATGTCTGATTTCACAGGGATTGACCTACTCTCTGGAGGTCACCTAGTCGACTTGGAGTATTCAGACGATATTATCCTGCTAGGTGAAGACGATGACAAAATGCAGGGTTTCCTGGACGTGTTCAGTAAAAATCTGAGTATGTTTGACATGCGTTTCACACCTGTGAAATCCAAGATGATGCTTCAGGACTTGTGAGCAACTGTTGCCAGTTTATTGATTGGGAGTGAAGTGGTGGGATGTGTTGACCACTTCACTTACTTGGGGAGTTGGATCAGCCCAAACTGGCTGGTTGTTGACGACGTATCAGCTCGGATACAAAGGATCGTTCGGGACTTGCTAACTCGTGTCATCAGTGAAGCCAATGGCGAGATATCCGAATATTTATCAAAGGGAGAGTATACTGCACTGCAATCTGTTCTGTTATACGGCTATGAGACATGGCCATTAAAAGTAGGAGACATAAAGCAGTTACTGGCTTTGATCATAGGTGTGATCGTAGCTTTGATCGCGTTTGATGGAATCACTGTGTGAGTAATGTCAAAATCAGGCGAACGGTACTACGCAGAATGGGCAAGTCGATTGACGAGGTTGTGAATCTCAGTTGACTGAGATGATTTGAACATGTACTGAGCATACCAAGCCACTGCCTACCTTGACATGCCATGCTAGAGGAATTTGGATTAGGTTGAAAGACGGTTTAGGGTGGCCAAACCAAGACGTGGTACCAATTCATGAAGTCTCTAACTGTCGGTCTGAGTTGTGTGAGAAAATGCAGACTGGCTGGTTGGGGTCCCCGAGATTATAAGAATCCATGGTTGAAGTTTGTTGGTGATGTGGCTGAAAATTGGCCACAATAGAGCAAATGTATTTGCTCTTTGGCATCCTCTAAAGCTTGAACATTTGCCCTAACCTTTATTTTTAAATTGTTTATTCGCCCACGGAAATTTTTCTGCTTTAATATCAGTCTTTTTTGATCTACCTTTTCTTTGTGCACTATACTGTGAAGTGTGGCAACTTGAGCCAATGCATTTGTCTGCGAGGTTCTACGTTGATTTTATCAGTTGTCAGTGAGTATAAGGAACAACTTATGAATATATCAACCAACGAATACCATCTTGATTACACTACACCAATAATGCATGATTCAGCATGCATATCTTGTTGACAGGTTGAGATTGCACGATTTGGCTAAGTTAAGAGAAGAGTTGAAAATTATCAACCGTTGTTTCCTTTTGCTCCGATACTTATTATCCTAACAAAGATCATTGTTGAATCTGAGTTTCAGCATTTTACGACTCTGCTTACCATACTGTGTGCATCAAAAGACAGTTAGTAGTATCTGTTTGTTCAAAAATAGAGGAAATAACAACAATTAGAACTTGCTAGTGAGGTATTAAATTAGACGTCAAAACAAGTTTTATTCGACGCCCGATTGTTTTCTTATTATTTCTTAGGGTGTTTACTAAGATTTGCTTCAACAAAGGAAATACATCACACCATTCATATACTTTTGCTGTTGTCAGTCGAACTTATTAGGATGTGCTCCAATTGATTATTTAGCAGAAAGTTACAGAAATCACAGGCGTCACTACTTTGGGGTGATACCACGGAGTTATAACCAGATGATTAACATTATTTCAAAGAAACTACCTCTGATTGCTCTATCTCAGTTCGTACCTGAACCACTACACTTAGCAATTTTCAATATCATACTTCTAGAGGTTGACAATCTGGTTCTGCGGTTTTGCCTCATTCCAGGTTTGCCACAGCATTTTCAACTTCAGTAAGAGCTTGAAGATGGATCTCAATGCTCCACTCAGGTTTGGACTGGATGATGTACAACTGAAGAGCAGTTGAACGGTTTCTGAACGTGTTTTGCACAGTAGTTCTGAATTTATCAAAGACCCATGCTTTTCAATAATAGCCCTACTAAATACTACCATTTCTTAATTAGTCTTCAGTTACCTCAAAGTAACTACTGACTAAACCCTAATGTTGATGCCTTCTCCATTTTCTTCAGTCTTGCCAACCACTATTCGTTGCAGTTACTGAGAAAATTCTCACTGCTTTTCTTCCTCATCTTGATCGGAACAATCCAGAATGAGCCTTTAGATACAAAATGATTCAGATGTGACTGCAGAAATTCACCGTTTCTAAGCATTTCTGACTGAAAATTACTATGTGAAGAATGTGCGAATTAAAAGCTTCTGTACACATCCAAGTAGGCATTATTACAGGCAAAAAGCTATGATGAAATAAGGCGAACCAATGATTCACAAGAGCAACAAATAAAGATTAAAAGTGAGATAAGGAGTAAAGTAAGTGGGTTGAAATATGATGAGGGAAAATTTCAAAGTGAAGCAATGTGACTGGAAAAGGAACTAGAGTGAAAAGAATAAAAATCCAATAAATAGTTTTTTAAAAAGTTGAAAAGCACTAAAATAATAACAATATGACGTACTTCTAATGCAGCCTCATTAATCGACTTCATAGACTATAATAGCAGAGGAGAAGAAAGCAAAAAAACAATTGATCAGATGTACATATACAATGATAATGTTATACTAGTAAGTGGTTGAATAAATACGTGTGTAGTTATTTTTTTTTATTAACCAGAACCTTATAGTGGCTTGCTCAGTACATTCGGCTTTGGTTGATCATATTCGGAACATACGTAAGTATAATAGATTTTCGGTAGTAGTCAACACAATATCATGCTTTTCCGCATTCACTAGGCAATATTCATGGGATCTATGACTTGCTGATATAAGAAATCTTTAGGTGATGAAGAATATCTGTAGATCAGGTAGAGTTCTTCAAGTTAGATGAAATAGTTTAGAAACGTAATCAAAGCCTTATGATTAAACTATTCAGCTCAGAGAACAAAGATCACTGTTCATTGTTCAACGCTACAGTTAAAGACTTTACCACTAAGATATTCTGACAACAGATGTAGTGCACACTGTACTGTTGCATTAGCTGCAGTTAACGAAAAATTAGAGTAGATCAAATTGTCCTATTATGTACTGAAATTTACTGATTCTCTTCAGAAAAAACACTAATTGTAACTTGGACTTTCACATTTTCTTTTCAAAATACTATTTAAATACACTAAGACGTCACTTCAAGTTAGACCAAGTATAGAAGTAACTACACAGTTAGCTAACAGATGAAAGAAAGGCGATATTTGAGGACAGTCAATCAATAAGTTGAAGCTTAACAGTAGATTTTGAAACACGAAATTTCGAGCAGAAAATCGCAAAATATCTATTAATGGTGAACCACCTAGCATGTTTATGACATAAAAGAGAACGCATATCATCAGTTAGATAAAATACTAACTTCAGGCGGAAGACTACCTAATACGTGAGAAAGGTAAACTTTTGAACAAAATTGTTGAAACTCGCATCGTTAGAAACGGATAAGTTCAATACCAGACGTTATAAAAGTTTAGGGAGATCAGTTCATATAGATTGCAATGATATAAGGGGTAGAAATGCAAAACTTTCTCTAGGATTTTGTGTGCCACGAGACATGACGGTCATTGGGTTCGACGTTGCACAAAGTTGTGCGAGCCCATTGGCTAAAAGTTCAAAACGAGTACGAAAGAGTTGTTCAATGTTCTCTGGTTTTCAATTATCTAACTTATTTCACTTAGTTATAGATATTCCAAAATCAATCGATTCCCCGAAAAACATCATAAATGATGAATATAAGAGTCAAGATACTTTTAAACTGATTGCTGCTATCAGAACGTTTAGTTCGCTATGTCACTTCACAGAACAGACTGCTGTAAATCTCAACTTCTTTTACAATCATCATTGGCACTATTAATCAGCCAGTCAGTCAATATTAGTATGGGAGTTGGTATTACTGACGGACCGAGTTGCCACAACTCATGATGACCCAGTGAGCTGAATTCAGATCACCTTACCATTCGTGAGCAATAAACCAAATCAAAAAGTAATTTTTATTCTTGAAATTCGACACCACTGTTGATTGGCTGTTTGTTAGTTCAAGTTTGTCGATAATCATTTTACACACTTTGCATCCAAGTGACTGTCATATGTGAACAAAGTTCCTGTTTTCAAGTCTGGATACTGCTGGATAATAAGTACTCAATCAGCTGACTGGCTGTTCGGTTTAGTGATTTCATTCAGTTGGGCGGTAAGATAGCTACCAACCGGTTATTAGCAAAATAAGTAGTCCGATGACTGACCAATCTAGTCTGCAGTTAACTAGACTCCAACAGTATAGATGTTTCCATAATTATTTAACATATAAGAAATTCTAACAGACTTTTTCTTCGGCTTTAATTATGGTGAACATTAAAGAAAACAGAAGTGTTCTCAATAAAACACAACTAGTAGCTCATGAACTTGAGACATAAAATGATGATAATAATTAGTTGAATGTAAGTCTATCTATTTTCTAACCATTCGACCTCTTCAATCACATAAAGAGTGACTCTATGATCCACAAAAAGACAGCTTTGAAAACAGGAAGTAGTAGAAAACAATAGATTCCATGAATCACCCGCCCTTTTTCATATATATTCCAAGTGACAATTATAATGCACATACATGCATTGTGAAATAATTTCATCTCTACAGGTGGTTTGTGACACCAATAATGAAATGAACCTTCATGAAGCTTACTAAGAAGTTTAATTGAAAAAGGTACCAGTGGTAAAATGTTCGAAATAATAATGTTTTGTGCTGGCTATCACTCATAAATCAAACATACTAGCAACCTTGAGGAATATCATCCCATCTCTATGCGTTGATAATAATTAAAAGAATTCATCTTTACTAAGGATCGAAACACTGCCTTGATGATTCTATAGTAACCAATATGTGAAACAACAAACTTTATTAATGATAAGCTACGTAGTCCAAGATGACATGACAGACCCTTAGAGGTTGACCCTAATGATTCCATTACACACAAATGTATCCTTCCTGATCTAAACTGTAAGTATATTTTAATCAATCGATTTGAAGTCATTTTCAACAGCAAGGAGTAGATTCACCTATTCTGAATAGAAATTGACCATTATTCATTTCCTTACACGTAATCTTCCAGATGGCAGCATCAGAAATAGATGTAAGTGAACAGTTGTGTATTACGCAGGGAGGCTATGAGCTGCATATACTCTGAGAAGAGCTGTGGTCCAATGGTGCAGGTACTCAGCTCCTAATCAAGCGGTTGTGTGTTCGAACACCGCTTAATCCACCCAGCCCTGGGTAGTTGAATAGTATGACCAATATTTGACCAAACAGTATCGTAAATATTGGGTGCTGAGTAAAAGGTTGACTTACACAAACAGAAAATATAGTACCATTCACCTTCACATAATAGGTATGACTTATTGCCTACTGTACGAACATCACGTGGTTGTTGAGTGCACTTCTACTGTGAGAGGGGTAATTTGACCAGGCGTTGGAAATCAACACCAAAATCTTCACATAGAAGTGACAAAAGATATTCAAGATAAGAAACATGCAGAAGAGACTGGAATGTCTTCTTTATAGATGAGTCAGAAAAAATATAGACAATCTATGTAACAGGAAATCTTCACATCAAATGTTCAATATCACTGACTGATTCGCCATATCCATTTCATTTTATTCAAGAAATGTAGCACATTGACATTATGATGTCATCTGAGTATACCGCAATCATGAACTTGAAAGAAGAAATCAAATTGAAAAGAAATGATCGAAGTGAATATATAATACAAATAAACAGAGTTCATTACCTTTGTCATAGTGTTATTCAGTACATTCAGATCTTCTTTTAGCGCTTTTATAGACTAGTTATAAGAGAATAATAATAATAATTTAATTGTTGATATGAAAACTTTGAATTAATTGCAAGAAAAGTTTCACTATTTAAAATGATAACAGGAACAGGAACGTTGTTGGAAGTTATTATACCTGATAAACGACTATCGGCTTTTGAGAAAACAATATATAAACTTGGTTCATGTTACGTATATTCATAGGATATGCAACAAAGGACAAACAGGTTGGAAGTCAGGTGCAACGACAATTGCACTACAGTTCCTATCAGATTATGTGTAACTCTTAACCTGTCTGATACACTTACATATACACAGCTATTTACTCATATCTATTTCTGATGCTTCCATCGGGAAGATTATGTGTACGGAAATGAATAATGGTCAATTTTTATTCAGTAGGTGAATTTAGTCTTTACCGTTGGAAATCGATGATTTCAGTAAAACCACAGTTTATGCATGGCAAGTAAAAGTGTAACCAGACTGCTCAAAACTTACCATGATAATACATCACACGTTTCAGATAAACTAAGTCTTCTGATTGCCTTATCGAAATTTGTTAAGTGGACGAACTTTTTCAAGTTTATTCCGGAATGTGTACTTTTCTAGTAATGATTGGAAGTAGTGTTCAGTATTGACTAATGTTTATAAACGGTTTCCTATGGTCAAGTACGATAATACAAACTCTACAGTATTCTTTAAGTTACAAACATTGTATTAATCCCTATTTCCTCGCTTACCATTACTGTTAAAATACACTAACTACATGAATAAGGGTTCGAAATTTAAAAACAAAGCATTTGATAATGTGGTTTCATTAGCCAGCAAGCAGATTTTCCACCTCAGATATTGCTAAATACGATTTCCGTGTTATTAATTAAAACTATTTAAGTGAAAAATGATAATATAGATAATTTTCGAAGAGTAAAATGTGGTCAAGTCATAACAAAAGGAACCAAATACTAAGTGAATAAGTAAACATAATGGCAGGAAACCTTGATCAGGATTTTTCTCGCCCATTGACACAGCGAGAGAACTGACACTTTCAGAGATCAGAACCCCTGTCATCCAGTTCTGCATTCAAAGAAGCTAATAATGAGTTATCTGTACTGTAAATACACTCCTTTGGAACTAACGCATAATCTAATCATTGAGCAAATAGTGGATCACAGGATGAATTCCAAGTGAAATCTTTCAGCCAAAGTAATTACACTAGTAATCAAAGCAACAGTATTCATGTTCTTTCCTAAATAAAGTCAATTTTCGATACAGTTTAGCGCAAAATCCAGATATCAATTATTATACACGCATGGTTTTGTTCTGAAGGACACTCCCTAGAAACTACTGTTCATTAAACGAATGCTTAGATTCATTAAGCGAAAGGATTACATGAAAGAAACATTTTGCGCATAACACTCACAAAATGTAAGAAAATGAAAAGATCTATATCTTCTCCAAGAAATGCATGATTATATTTCCCTTGAACGTCCTATGTTTTAGTGTTACTGTAGGTTTATGGGGTCGATCTATAGCACCTTGTGAAGCACTTGCGGTTGTAAAGTTTATTAGACCCTCGGCGACGACTATGTCAGTCAATTGGGGCTGAGCTGGTAGCAACGACGCTGAGCTTATCAGATTCATCGGAATGCTCATTTGATGTTCTCTTTAAAGGTTTGGATCAATGGTCAAGTTGCGGACTAGGTGAACCTAAATGAGTAACTTGTTCAAGATGTTTATTAAATTTACTGCTCAGTTCTTACTGAATGGTGTGTAGAAAGGGATTGCGTCTAAACCATGTTTTTTTTATCTTTGAAACTTTTATGAACAACAATTGTTACATTTTTGAACAGTCGAAGCATCACACAATTACATCAATAACTGTGCCGGCTGAGACCCACTTTCACACAAAACATTTTAAATGTATATACACAGCGGTAGCATGAATTAATCTCCGAGACTCTGTTTATCAACCAGATAATTCCTTTCATTTTAGCCGACCACTGATGTTGCTGTGGCAACCAAGAGTCCCTTAAAGTAGGAGTCCCAGAGAGGAATTACTGCTAATGACACCACTTGGTTTCTCAAAAACTAACAGATAGAGCAGGTTTCAAGTCCGCGACCAGCAGGTTCACATTTCAGTGACCAAATCAGACACCGTCAGTTTCAAGTGAAACGAGAAAAAGATCATCTCATTGACTTACAACACATCATATTTCAAACTCAGTTTCCCACACCTACAGTGTCCAAATATGAAATAATAAAATGTGACTCAAAAACCACGTACACATTCGTGTGGCTGGCAACAAATCACACCTATTGTATGAGGGATAATGTTACTACCAAACTACTCATCCTTCAGTAGTGGAGAGGGGTTCGAACCCACGACTCACTGGTTGAAAATCGAGCGTCTACAAAAATGAACCAAAGATCCACGCTGCGGAGATAATACATCACCTTATGACTAAAAAGTTGCTTCATTATGCTTCGTAATTTCGTACTAAAAAAACAATTTCCATCTCTGTATGCAACCCAACCAAATCGATTGGTCAATGACCTATATTTCCCAATCTGTCAGAAAATGAGGGGTGAGATAGCTACAAATCACAAAATTATATCCACTCAATTCATCCTATAATCAAACCTTTTTTAAACATCTAACTATTAGGTGAGTCGCAGAAAGACTATAAACCAACGGAATATTAGATGATTGGTTAACATCGGTTAGTAAGTATGCCCTACAAAATGATACAAAAATTAAATCAACGACTTACATCATTCAGGTTATTTTTCACTTCAATTAAATCATCCAACGCCGTTCGCAGTCTCTAAAACATATAAAAATACTGGGTTCATAATAAAAATGGTATCTGTGTAGTCAAGAAAAAAGATGACTACCGTCATTGCTACTGAAATACTTGGTGTTAAGTGTTTAAAAACATCACGAAACTTCTTTTATGCTGTAACACTCCATCTACTAAGACCATAATAGGTCCATCGAGAGAATTCAACTAACACTGTGGAATAAGTGAATTAGCAATTTTTATGTGAGATACAGTTATAGAATAAGCCTTTGCAAGAACTGGTGTGGAATCATGCTCCTGTCCACCCAAAGCAAAACTACGGAGTACCACAAACCTTTACCAACCTCATTCAACAGCTATCTGACGACGCTACATCCCAAGTGAGTCACAATGGAAAGCCCAGTGATGCCTTTGAAGTAAAGACAGGAGTAGGATATGGTTTCTTACTACCAACGATGATCTTCCTGAATGTGGTCGACTGGATCATGCAAGAAACTGTACGGAGCTGTGAGAAGATGGCTATATGCTGTTTGACCGGTGAAAAGACCTTAGCAGATTTGGATTTTGCCAATGATGATTCATGTCTTATGTTGCACAAAATAGAAGATCTACACCCAAAAACCAACAAGTTGACAGAAAAGGCAGCGAAGACAGGACTTCATATGAACGCAGAGAAGACAGAAGTGATGAAGATACCCAAACAACAACAACAGCAACAACAAGCACCAATCACCATCAACGGGAGAAACCTAAAATAAGTAGTCTCCTTCAGCTACCTACCCACCTACCGAGGCAGCATCGTTTCAACTACAGGCGGCACAGATGAGGATGTCAAAGCAAGGATCGGAAAGACAGCAAGATAGGTCTTCATCAATTTGAAATCAGTGTGGAGATATACTGCACTCAGCATAAAGCGTAAACAACATCCAGATTTTCAACACCAAGTCAGTCAAGTCAGTGCTTCTATGTGATGGTTCAGAAACTTGACGCGTCACGAATAGCATTTCCAACAAACTACACACATTCATAAACAGCTGCCGCCTACCCTCACTTGATAATGAAGACCAGGTGGCCAGGAAGAATAAGCAACAAGGAACTCTGGCTGACTGGCTGGCAACGAACTAACCAAGAACCCATCGCCCAACAAATATGCAGAAGCAGAAAGTGGAGATGGATTGGATTGGAAATACACTGAGAAGACCGATTGGGGATATCATGTGCCAGGCCAACCCCTCGAATGGAACCCGAAGGGGAAACGATGAATTGGGCATCCAAGGCGCGGTGACATGGAGGAGATTGTGTGAGGAAGAAATAAAAGCTTGTGGGCAGTCGTGGAGCCAGGTTGAAAAGACTGCAGAGAAGAGAGTGAAATGGCGACGTGCTGCTGAAGCTCTATGTACCACTAGGAACCCAAGGGACAAATAATAATGATAATGATAGTAATAATAATAATAATAATAATAATAATAATAGTAACAATAATAATGCAGTTGTAGAAAAGGAGGGTCAGTCGACACAATTGTAAATCCGCACTTACTAGATTTGTTATGACAAACACCATGGTTATTATGTCACTGTTTCTATGAACACATCATGCTAACTAAACTGGGAGTAAATTGGAAGAGGCTTCAAGATGGAAAGACAGAGAAATGAAACTGTAGACTATTCACCTAAACCATGAAGTGAATTGTAGGCTACATGAAAGCAGCGTATGTGCAATGGTAGAAGTCACTATGTAAAGATCTTAAGTGAGATGAATCCAATATCAAGTCAGTTGTATAGATTGATTCACTCCTTATCTATCTATCTATTCTAACAGCACATCTTTAAAACGATATAATATGAAAGTCAATTTGATAAAGTACTGGTAATTACAACAACTGGTTGGGCTGTTTTTGTTGTTATTTGAACCACAAATAAGCTCAATCAGACTGACAGGTATACATTTTAGGATTGTAGCTTGAAGATTCGGCTCACTACACATTTTGGTTAGAAATGTGATCTATATAGATCAGTTGAGTTGAGATGACAAACGAAGAGCGGATGCTGTTTATTTCAAACATTTTAATCAAAGAAGCACTTATCTAACCTAAGTGTATACAAATTCCATGACATCATCATCATCAAAAATAACATGCGTAGAAGTCGACACGATCCCTAGTAAATAACATATGCATCTAGGATGTCTAACAATTTTCGGGTGCATTTGACCAAACATTGAGTTAACTCCATAAACATATTCCGCAAATTACAATCATCACTGAAAACTAAGAAAATATTTTTGCTACAATTCGGAGACTAACACGGTTACCTTTATTCCTATAAACAAACAGTCAATTAATTTTCAAAATCGTAATGCTTTCCTGTCATTCATAACCAGGTGTCAAGAAATGTAATTCTTTCCTGAAAATTGTGCCCAGAATCCACGATTCATCGAAGTACTTACAGAAGACCTTTCAATCACTCTTCTATAGAACAATTTATCCTACAATCAATATATCAACTACAAGTTCGCAGATTTTTACAGCCCTAAATCAAATATTGCTTTACATTTCTGGTGGGAGTGATATAAACACGTATTCGGAATGGAAGTTGCTAAGAACAATGACAAGCGTTTATATCCCCTTGCCCAGCCAGTAGCAAATCAGGAAAACGTCAGAAAGAGTATGATGAGAAATAATCGCATTTTCGGTAATTTCAGGAACAATTTTCAAGAGGTGATAAAATTTTCTGTAACAGTATGATGAACTTTATTATGGGAACACCATGAGCAACTTGGTCACAACCATTCTAAAACAAATTTGGTGAGTTCATTGTTATTGACAACAACTCAAACTTCTATTTCATTAATTAAGATCCCCACTTATTGTTGACGCTGTTTATTGTTCGGTTGTAACTAAACAGCTGCATACAGATTCATGTACTAGGTAATCAGTAACATATATTGTTTGGGGGAATAGTAATCCTACTCAATTGTATAAGTAGATAGACGAATGGACAAATCAACGTAGAACCTTGCATACAAATGCATCAGTCCAAGTTGTCACACTTTACAGTAGCATGCAAAGACTGATATCTAAGTAGAAAAAGATGTGTGAATGAGGAAATTACTAAAAGGAAAATGAATCAATTTACCTGATCGGATGATTGAAGAGCGGAAGCCAAATCTTGTAAAGAGATGTCAGCAACCTATGATGATAAAATGGAAGCAATAAGAACCAGATGAATATACATTTGTTCAGTATATTGGCAGAAATATGACTAAAGATGACGTATTTCAATAAACCTGCTACACAAAAGCTCTTGGTAAATACGTACATGACCATGCACTAGGCAAAGAGCCAAACGTTTTGTGTGAGGAGTAATAGTACTGTAGTGAGAGCTACTCATAAGAATGCATACAAGTAGTATTTGTGATAACGTCGAAAGTGATAAGGACTAAATGATGAGGATTCACGTAAAACACAGTCTTGGAGAGAAATAAAGTGGTCGAAGACAAGATGAACTGATATGCAGGACAAAAGATTGTTTGCGAATGAGAACCACATTGTAAGGTTTATTATGTATGTCCTTACTAGTTGCTTTCTCAACACGTAATATCTTATGCTCCGTCGGAATTCTCTTCATTGGTGTCGCTGTCTACCAACTGGATGAAGATGCCTTGGTCAGCAGCATTTCAAGATGAAGATGCCAGAAAGTTTCTGAGGAAATTCAAAGCAGTTGTGGATTTGGTGGAGGATCAACAAGCCTAAGCAGACGTTGGTTATATTGAAGATTTTCCAGATGATGCCAATCAATGTGAAACTAAATTTAGCTTTCTGATGAAAAAACAAACTCAAAGAATACAGTAATGAAAACACTGTATCATATACCGAAGACTTAAAGGGGAAGGACAAAAAGGATATAACCTCAAGATAGTTAAGCTTCCCTTAGCATGAAACACTAAATATGAGGATATGCTATAAACCCACTTAAATCAAAACCACTTCTAATGTGGGTGAGACAATTCCATGCAATTAGTTCCAAACTACTTATCAACATCTGTTGGACGTAAGTGGAAAATCTAGGAGTGGAGGACTATTTTACACAGTTTTGAAACTGCTTAAAGATAAGGACCAATGATTCCTATCGAAGGATAAGGAAATAAATTTGCAAGCTCCAAAGTGGGAATGGTAACCTTTGAACCGATGGAACCGATACCAACGAGTGCTATGTAGGACTTTAATTCACTAGTGAGATAGCACAAATTATTCCCTCTTACCTATTCCTGGGGTAACAAATTCATCGAACTATCTTATATACAGCTTTTGTGCCAGCCTATCCAAACTTGCAATTATGCTGTAACCAGATCTAGTATAACCTTCCTGTATCCTACTATCTTTCAACTTGAAATTCTCACAAGAACTTAATTCGGACTTAAAGATCAACAGCCATCAAATGTAAATATGATTCGGTAGTTACTTAAGGGATAAAAACTCATTATACATTCAACACAGTTTGTCGTAATAAAGTCTAAGCATTCAACTGTCAGTAATTAGTAGTTCATGCAACTAAGAATCAAAGATAAATGTATCAAGTTACTGGAGAGTACGTGGAGAACTGTTTAAAGAAAAAGTAAACGAATAAAGATAAAAGGATAAGCTGAAGCCCATTTTTAATGTAACAGGTTTTTGAAAGGTAAATGACAGACTTTAATATGCTACCGTGAGCAGTTGTGTATCACACTGTTCATGGATCAGTAGTTAACAGTTCTTCATTATCATCCAAGACTTCAATAAATGCTTGCTCATTTCTCTTCCAAAATCAACCAAACTACTGAGGCTGCTTCAGCTTCCAAAGTCAATTGATGAACACATTCCATCCCATCACTCCCTAATCTAGTCGGTGTAAATCAGCTTTTAAGTGTAAAAACGTCGATGATAAGAGAGAAATAGAAGTAGATGCACAGAAGCTGATGTACGACTGTCCTATTCAGTGTTTAGGTATTAAAATCCACCGCGAAAAAAGGTAAAGTTGTAAGAGTCCCGTAATTTAGAAAACACTATGAACGCTGGAAGACACAGTATAAGGTATAATCGATTTGACTCTTTAGCATTAAAAAGTTGTCTCCAACATTACCGAAAATGGCCAAAAACAGAAGTATGTTTATACCGAAAGAAATAAAGTTTAGATAATATGCTTCCTACCTACATCCAAGTTCATAATGAGTGAATGTAGTGATCCTTTACAAGCATTTTCGGAAAGCATGACTGCACAGCGAGAGAATCGGCGAAAGCCAGGTCAAGATACGCTTTTACCACACGTTGTACACAAGCAACGACTTTGTCTGACCACAAATTATAATACTATACACCATAAAAACAAGTCTGTAACTCATTGCGATCATTACTCAGCTTTTAAGGAATTCATAAAGCAAGTGCAGCTATTTATTTCATGATTTCATAGTCATGAGCACATATCACTCAACTCCACGACACTGTGTCGTCTATACGTTCACAATCCCAATCTATGATTATTCAGTCATCTCGGCGAAATTTGTAGCGTCACACACTTCTACAGATACAATAGCCTAGGGTTCGACGAGATTCAACAGTGATGCTGACCTTCATAGTTTAACTGGACTCGCTAAGCTGAAGGCATCCGGTCAAGCATCCTCGCCATTTGGCACGCTGTCGTGTTACGTTGCATTGCTTGTAACTGACCCTTTAGCCAGTCAGTTGGAACGCATCGGTATCTTGGCACGACCTCGCAAATATACTATCCCTTCCGACTAGGCTATTGTGTTCTTTCTTAGTCTCGTATTCGTGAGTACATAACAAGTTCGAATAATTAGTGACTGGCCTCTGCGTCTGTCAAGTTCGCATCAAGACAATTCCTAAAACGTTAATCAACTATTACCTTATAACATCACTTTAAATAAACCAACTTGGCTAGTTGTATTCTTATAGTCCTGCTAGAACACAACAACTATGCAAAAATACTTGAAAACTTGTACACCTAACAGAAATGCATTTCATAATGGTTCCAATTATTAGACAAAACTAGTCGTGTAAAATAACTTTGCATCTGGGTGGCGCAAGGTACATACAGTAAATACTTGCGGATGACAACTTCAACATAATTAAATACGTCTCATATATCATATATGGTGCAGTAAGATTTAAAATTAGCTTACATAATTAAGATCACAAAACTGTACTTCAAGCGACAGATACATGTCCTAACAGCCAGTGAATTACTCACGGTGCATGCAATCAAAATGTAAAACCTATTGAAGCTATGAATAGAAGAGACTGCATAAACATAATCTGAAACATTACTTATCATGACTGTATCAAGACAAACTTTAAGCTGATAGACAATAGTTTACTGAGCTTTATAAGCTAAAACATACTTGACCGGCAGCCGTTAGGTGAATTGATCCTGTCTGCTTATCCATTTGATGAAATCGTATCCATGTAGCTCCAAAACCAATAAGTCCAGCAGCTAAACTAAAGCCTACAGTCCACTGTCTCATTCTGTTAGCTTGAATTCGCTCTTCTGCTTGAGAATGACGCAGAATGGTGGAAAACTGTTCAAACGCCACTTGTTCCGCTAATTCAACTGAATTTAACTGATCACGAGCTCGTTGGTGTTGACGTGAAAGCTGAAGGTAAGCAAGATGATATGTTCCAAATAATATTATCACTACTTTTAAAATCTTGCAATAAGAATTTTCAAAAATAAGTTTAAATATGAGTAAGTTCGAATAAACTGATCTTTTAAACCATCTAGAAACTGTATAAAAGACGTAACAAATGAACAAAAGGAAAATGTATTTCGAGAAAGCTAAATCCAACAATCTTTAGAGATGGGCAGTTTCATAATGTTGGACCGTGATGCCTATCCTGAGTGACTGAAAGATGCCACAGTATAATGACATACTGTCTTCACTAGCTACACCTTTTATAAGAACAAAAGAAAGTAATCAAACTGACCAGGAGAATGAGAGAAAACAGCAAAAATGAGAGCATATCAATACACAAAACAATTCGTTATCACAAACCAAGGTCATGTGCTCTGTACATGTCAGTTAGTCACCTTCATATTGCGATAAATTGGGAGTAGGCAGCAAATGGTATCACTGCGAATTCGAACATAAAAATTACAACTCAGAAAGCACTTGCAAATTTATGAACTAGGCTGTGAGCAATATTTCTTGTACAGGTTAATAGTACTAATTGACACTACAGAACTTGATGTAAGAATCGAAGTCGCAAAATATGTTCCACAAGAGAAGGGTTGGATTTCGACAATATTGAGAGATGGTCACAACACCTGTTACCAAGGATTGAAACACGTTTACTTATTACCTGAAGTAATCAGTTTGTTCATACATGAATAGCTTGTGTAAGTATTTTGATAATGCTATTGAGCGTACTACAATCGCATTTGCTGGCTGCTAACAGTAAACTCGAGGATGTGCATCTCCTTTTATCCTATATGTGAGCAGTCTGCCAACGAGCACAACAGAGCTCGCTAACCACGCGAGAATACTGGGAGAACGCACGATGAGAACATGACAAAACTAACGACAAATCGTCATCTCTTTTATTAGATACGGTTATCTTCACTTATAACTCTGATCCATTGCACTAGGATACTTGAAGCAGTGTGTCAGTTAGGACGTCAACAGAAGTAGTAATGTTTTAACTGAGATGTAGATATATCTGGTTAACGAATCCCAAAGGGGATCAAACGCAAGTTGTGCATCCTACTCTCAATCAAGACCAAATATCTGCTGCTACCTTTTACACGACATGGAATGTAAAGTACTAAACACCACCAAGCATGCACTATCTACACCACAGTACATTCAGAATAAAAGCACAGAATTAAATAAATGCTACCTGCCTCATGTAGTTCTGTGACTAATTTCAGAAAGCTATCGTCACTACGCTTTACACTATCCAATTGTACATTAATTCGATTTCGTGCCTCTTCTAACTGGAAAACTTCCATTTGACAAGCTCTTCTCTCGACTTGTTTTTGTACAAAGTTTTTCTCGGCCTAAAATTTGAAAACGGATATTAACACTAACAATAAATAATTGACAGTTGAATGTTACTCACCTCCATTAAAAAATGATTAAGCGATGAATGTGAAGTGTTTGATGGTTGAAGGAAATCGGCAGGAAGCTTTAGACTTGGTTTACGTGCTTGTCCTCACTCGCCAACAAGGCGCATTTGCAGCCTTAAGGGAAATAATGTCCCCTGTGAGATTCAAGTCCGCACCACCTCGTCCTCCAGTCAGAGACCTTACCGCTGAGCTATTTAGGCTGCGACTGACCTCTCGTAGGACTGAACTAGGTATATTGGTTGATAACCGAAAAGTAACCAAATTTATGTGTTGTCTATTCCTGAGTCCCCATCGAATTATATCGGTTTAAAAAGGTAGTAGACAATAAAATGTTTTGTAAACTAAAAGAAGACAACTTAGGCCACAAATCACAGTTGTTGTTGATATGACGGTGGTTCATTTAAATATTGGATCTTAATTCTAACATCAAAACACTAAAATATCAACCGATGGACTACAGACTCAAACCCAGCTGCACCTAGGGAAGTCTCAGTAGACAGGTAGCGTCCATAGTTCTCACTAAATAGATGTGGCTTATTTTTCTTTTTTTTTAATAATAATGGACTTATTCCGAAAGCTATTTCGCGAATACTCTACAGAATTTTCAGTATGTCATATAGTATCGATTGGATAGACAGTTTATATGTATACATAGCAAGATGAAATAAGCAGAAATTACATGAAGAAAAGATGAAAATATTCGCTCTATCAACAACTTTCTTCAAAATGCAGTCTATTTAGGTAGACAATCACATTGACGATTAGATTCATAATGCGTAAAACGTAACAAGCTCATCTTCAGTTAGTTTTCTTTCAAAAACAGAAGTTGATTAGTTAGTTCATTTCTAATACTTTCTTTATCACACACTATATGAATGTGAACATAACCATTGAGTGGATTTCGATTTTTTCAACGGAAACTATAACTGTAAAACATCTGAGACGAAAAGAAATATGAAACAAAACAATGCATCATGACAAAATGAGGGAATTCAGCATTTCGGCAGTAATCAAGAATTTCGAGAGTAAAATTCAGCGGAACTCATTGTTTGTGTTACATTTCAAGTGGATAACAGAACATCACAGTCAGTATTGAATCCCATTCCGTTGTGCACGATAATGTATGTGAAAACTATATACATCAAGGACTTCTGGAAGCTAAGCGTGAAACCCTCCAATTAATTTTCTGACAAACAAGAACGGGGCAAAAAGATTAGACTCACTTCAGCAACTCCAACGTGTAAAGATCTAACACGATCTAGGCCAGTAAGATTGTCGTAAACTTCATAAATAGGACGGTAGTCAGCAGATTTGATTTTTTCATAGGATTCAAGAGCCGACTGTTTAATAAGGGCTGGACAATTAATAAGGTTCTTTACGATTCGTGCAGGTAGGTTTGGTAGCATGATTTAACTACAGTATCTATAAGAATGTGGATAGAAGGATAGAAATTGGCTATTATAAAAGCGAGTTAATTACAAAAAAAAGCCCTCATTCCTCACATTTTCAATAAACAGGTTAAAAAAGAAGTGCGATCTACCACACTGCTCAAGTTTCACTCCTATATTTATTCCTAACAACTACAAAACGAACAAGTGAAATCGATACAGCAGTCATCTTCCAAAATCCGGTAACGCTCTATATTGGTGAGTATTCCACCTGAACGCTCATGAAACTTGAAATACCTAACTTTTTTGATAATTAATAATGAAATCACCCTATCTGCTGATGAAACGATGGCAGTCAATCATCAAGGCTTGAATAACAGCAAAGAATGATAACTGCTGTTTTACCATATTTGAGTGTTTGCTCTGTCAAATCACTTAGTCCAAAATATCTATCTCCTAAGGTTTTATCATTCCACACAAGTAAAAAACAGCAATTACACCAGAAGCATTCGAAACTGCAATTTAATGGAAAGTCTGAAGTTGGCTTCGAGTTGCCGACTGCTGAACCTCAAGTTTGCTGCTTATTTCCAGGGTTTAAAAACTTTCCGGCAAAATTTCAGACATTTCTACGCTAATTGCTTTGCATCAAACCGGATCATAATCACTTATGACGATGGGTACGTGGCACCTGAGTCTACAAAATTATTCAATTGATTAATGGAAAAGGTGAGTGAACTACGACCTTTTGTTTGGTTAGCAACAATCCCAATAAATAGTTAACACATTGCAATAATCAACAACAACTGAACAATAAAAACATTATCAGCATTTTAAAAAACCATCTTTTGATATTCTTACGATAGCAAAAAACCTTCGCAGTTTCCAAAGTTTATGTTGGGTTTTTTCTACTTATAAATAAGGTCATCTAAGTCCCGAGCTTGGTGGGTCGATAATAACTTCAGTCCATATGTTGCTGCAACAACCCTATAAGTTACCTCGCTACTCGTTTTTATACCGCAATGTTTGCATTTCGCTCCTTCTAATATCCAATATTACCAGTGCGAGCGTAGAAAACTGATAGTTTTCGATCTCTCGTGTCTAGTTCTTATCGCTTGGTTCAATTTGTTTGGTTAACTCCTGTAGTGAACAAGGAAATCTCCTCTGCCACCTTGCTTTTAGCCTAGGTGAGGTGGGTGTTTTATTGGTTAGTAAGTTTTAATTTGTAGAGTGGAGAGCTAAGGGTTGCTGGGATGGTTAGGAGACTGTCGTGACTCCTGTCTGTGTATGTGCCTGGAAGGGACTAGAAAGGTAGCAATAAAAGAATGATGAAGAAAAAAGTAAATACTGGAAGATAAAAAGGAAAAGAAAGAGAGAAAAAATAGAAGAAAAGGAAGGGTGAAGAGGAATGAAAGAGACAAAACAGTATGTTCGACTCGCCCGAATGATATGAATAGATAGCGCGGGTTTAGTTCCTACAGAAGAATTAGTCGGTAACTTAGGTGTTTAGGATTTGTCCTGGTGCTAACTTGACAGACGCAAAGACCACTAATTATTCGGACCTGTTATATACCCACGAATACGAGACCAAGGAAGAACACGATAGCGCATTTGGATGGAATAGTATATTTGGATGGTTGTGCCAAAATACTGATGCGTTACAACAAGCTGGCTAGAGAGTCGGATACGAGCAGTAGAAGGTAACACGACAGCGTGCCAGATGGCGAGGATGCTTGACCGGGTGCCTTCAGCTTAGCGAGTCCAGTTAAACTATGAAGGTCAACATCAATGTTGTAAGTCGTCAAACCCTAGGCTACTGTATCTGTAGAAGTGTGTGACGCTACAAGCGCATACTCTCGAGGAGAAAAAATTGGATCTGAGTACGGTGTTGTCCCTCTGATGTGCCATCTTAACTAGGTTTCTCCGTGAATACCTCCGAATTGCAGGTGAAACTGGTTTGTTTGCCTAGTCTGCCTGATGTTTGGTCTTGTACGCCATAATAAGGTCACCCCTCTTCCTACGTAACCCAAAGTAAATAGGTTTAGGTGTTTAAGCCCTTCTGGATCCGTCTTGCCCCTTAGTCCCACAACTAATTTTGTTGCGGTTCCTTGTATTTTTTCAAGGAGATTGGAGTCTCTTGTGAGTTTTGGGGAGGCCCCCGCACTGAAGACCCCTGGATGCGGCCGCACGTAGGATTTGGGAACGGAGAGGAAGATTCCGGGGGTGATGGTGCCAAGCTGTCTACGCAGAGGGTGCAAAATAGCGTTTGCCCCGGTTGTCATACTTTTGTATTTGGAGACGGTGTTCACGGTGTCGGAGAAGTTGAGTCCCAAGTCTTTCCTTACGGACACTCTGGTGATGGCACGGTTGCTCGACATGCACTGGAAGTCAGCCGTGCTGGCTTCACATCTTGTTTGTCATCTACACCAACAGTGTTTGCAACTGCTTTGTAACAGGTGACGCCTTTCTATATGCCGACGACCCAAAAGTCGTTTACTCTTGTTATAGCCCCGAGCTAGGTGACACTATAACTAAGATTCGACATGAACCAGAAAAGCTTTCTTCTTGGTGTGCTGGTACACTTCTGCAGTTCAACATCAACAAATGTGGATGGATCTGCATTGGTAACGGTAACCTTGACCTGATATTTGAAGTATCTGGACAACAGTTACCAGAACTTAGTTCTGTCTCAAACCAAGGGCTCAGATATTCCAGTGACTTGAGTTCCTCTGGGCAGGTAGAGCACAGCGAGACCAAGTCATGCGGACTCCTAGGAGGCATCATTCGTAACCTTTATAGTACTGAATCAAGGGCCCTCCGCCACAAAGTATGCATCTGTCCAATTCTAGAATATTGCTCGATGGTCATAAGCAGCTTTCGAATAGACGATAAACTAAGAATCGAAGGAGTACAACGCCAATTTACACTAAGAACACTAAGAGCTGACTGCAAACTTGACTACATCTCCAGATGCAACAAGCTAGGACTAGAACCTCTCTGGAAGAGGCGACTTAGAATGAACCTTATACTTTATTATAAACTACTTTGTTAGCAAATGCACTCATGCGGCCCAGGAATCGAAACAGTTGTAACATCCATTTACAATATACGTAATCACAAACAATTGGCTAAACCTGGGTGTTGTAAATTAAAGTGTGCGCATGGCTCGAGCGTCTCTAAGAAGATAGGAACTTCTCTCTTCCCAGTTTCTTATGGTGTGGTATATCATTCTCTGATTGCCATTCTATGCTCTGTTCTATGATGATGCTTAGTGTAGCGTTGCAATTGGTCCGCACATGATTTGTACTTCCTGAATCCAGCCAACATATTCCGGTCGTAGTTTTGAATCCAGCACATCCTTTAGTCTCTCCAGGATGATGCGGCTTAATATTCTGCTTGCTCTGGGTGGACAGGAGCAAGATTCCACGCCAGTTCTTACAAAGACTTAGGTCGCCCTTCTTCGGCAGTTTGACAAGGTAGCCATTCTTCCAATCGCCAAGTACCTTCTCTTCCTTCCAGACATTCTGCAGTAGTGGTGTGAGCATGTCTGCTGTTGTCCTTACGTCTGCTCTCAGTGCTTCTGGCGGTATCCCGTCTGGTCCTGCTGCTTTCCCACATTTCAGTAGCCTCATGGCGTTCAGGACTTCCATTTTCGTTGGGGGATTTATGTTCACTTGTAATTCAGCGGCTGCAGGTGGTATTTCTGGACGAAGTGCAGGTGGTGGTCGATTCAAGAGCTTCTTGAAGTGGTCGGCCCATCGTTTCCTTTGTTTCTCTTCTTTCGTAATTAAATTTCCTTCTTCATCTTTTATTAGTTTCATCTGTGTTGGTCTCTTCCCTGATAGCAACCTGGTTATTTGATACAATGTTGTCAGGTCTCTGTCTCTTCTACCTGCAGCCTATTCTGCTTCACTTGCCAGTGTTTTGTAGAAGTGTCTTTTGTCTCTGCGTGCACTCTTCTTTACTTCTTTGTTCAGTGTTTTATACATTGTGCTCAGTTCCTCTTGTCGTTGAGCATCCTTGCACTGCTTTATCTTCTGCTTCATCATCCTCCTCTCCTCTATCAGCTTCCAGGTATCCGTCGAGATCCATTCCTTGTCTTCTTTCTACTTCCTTCCCAATACTGTTGTGCAGGTTTCTTTCCACATCTCTTTCAAAGACTTCCAGTATTCTTCCACACAGGTTTCTTCAGAGATGTTCCTCGATATCTCCCATTTCGTCTTGATGGCTGCCGTGAAGATCTTCTTTGTAGTTTCATCCCTCAGTTTCCGAGTGTTGTACCTGAATTGATGTCTATCACCAGCTTCCTTGAAGGTTTTCAACTTGATTTGGAAGGTTCCTTGCACTAGATAGTGGTCTGAACCTACATCTGCTCCTCTTGTTGACCTTGTGTTAAGTAGGCTGCGTCTCCACTTTCTTGAGATTGAGATAAAGTCCATTTGATTTTTAGTGTGTCCATCTGGTGAAATCCATGTTGCTTTGTGGATATCCTTGTGCTTGAACACACTGCCTCCAATCACCAAATCGTTGAATGCACAGAATTCTGCAAACAATTCTCCATTCTCATTCATCACCCCACCGAGCGCTTCTCGGCCCATGGTTAGTTCTCTTCCCGTGTTGTCCCCTCCCAGTTTGGCATTCATTTCGCCCATTAGAATTTTGATATCGCCAACTGACGTCTTGTCCAGTGTTGATTGAAGTTGTCTGTAGAATTCCTCCTTTTTCTCTTGCTCTGCATTATTTGTAGGTGCATAACATTGTATGATTGTGACCTTTCTTCCTTTTGAGTTGAATCTTGCTGTCATGATCCTGGAGGAGATTGGTTCCCACTGCATGGGAGCCTTCGATGCTCTTGAGGACATCATGATAGCCACTCCATAACTCAGTGTGCTCGTGGTTGTCGTCTGGGTGACAATATCGGAGTAGATTATTGATTCTCCAGTCGACAGTTTGGAGAGTCTACTCCCGTTCCATCTGCTTTCGCAAATTCCAAGCACTTCAATGTAATACCTCTTCATCTCGTTTGCAACCTGGGCTGCCTTGCTGGGTTCAAACATCGTGCGGACATTCCATGTCCCCACGTTTACTTTCGCTTTCATCGAGAGAGAGAAGACACATCGGTTCGGCCAATTGGCTTCCCGAATGCAGGCTTCCACCAACTGCTGTCATTTCGCCTCTCCGATTGCAACGAGGAATAATTTTGTTTTCATTTTTTATATATCGTTTGTGCTTTGAAGTTTGTTTAGCAGTTAGATTTGTTTTCCTGGGTAGGGTTGCTAGCCCTATGCCCAACCTTCCCTCTTTACCCGGGCTTAGGACCGGCTAGTAACTAGTGAACTAGTTAACCAGGCGAGGTTGTGTGCCTGTATATTAAGGAATAATTATTATCACCATTTATATGGTATTTCTCTCGATATATATGATCTTTTAAATTAAAGCACTTGAGTTACTCGGCCAGCATTACTCAGTTTGAGAAAGAAATTGCTGAGTTACTTCCCCTTCCTTTTGAGTGATTTGATATTTCGTGAACAGACATCAAGGGAAAAATCTCGCACTTGCCCTTGGTATACCAAGGTAAATTGAGTGGCCATGGATCAATATCTGCCGTGGCTCCCAGAGTGGAATGCCCTGCCGATTTGCCAGCTCTAGGAACTGGGGAGGGATATCATCGTGATGGCAAGCTCCAAAAACGACCCAGTAGTCATAAATATAACAAAGAAGCAAAACTCTTGGCTGAAACAAAGCAGCTAGAGCCTCTTAAAAGCCAAGAGAAAAGCGTGGCATGAAAGCAGGATCCCAGAAAAACAGCCAGGTCACAGAGCATATATAACCGTTTGAGTGTTGAAATAAGGGGGGTTGAGAAATCGTTTCGGACGAACCTGGCCCAGAAGCTGCAGTCGAATACCCAAAACCTACATTAATTCATGGCGGAGGGAAAATCTGCCAACCAAGGGGAATGCGTTATGTGAGTCCCAAACGGATGGGACCTCCCAAGACTGGACATTGCCGGAACCTTCGGCGCCACTTTCGACTCACAAGTAAAAATTCTGTCACCCAGTCAAAATTACCAACTGCCCGGGCACCTGACGGGATTACTGAATGCAGAAGAGATGCATGGGATAAAGGTAACTCCCACTAGGGTCTTCGAAAAGTTGTCTACACGGGAAAATCGCCAGGTTGCTATAAAATTCGGCCGTCTGCACTGAAACGATCTGTCAGTGCATTACGTGATCCTCCCTGTAACTTGTCCAACTCTCCTTAGGCAAACAAATGATTCCGCGAGAGTGAAAAAGTGCTATTCTCCCCCCGGCCTTAAGGGAGGGGATGTCCAGGATGAGAGATGATTTAGACCTATAGCGCCTCTAACATCGCTGTCGAAAGTGTTAGGGAGCCTGGTGGACGATCAGGTCACGGAGTACTTGAGCAACAACAAAGCACCAACTAGAGCTCAACGAGGTTCCCGAAGGGTTAGATCCTGCAGCCGGTGATAACTAGACGGCATACTAGAACCACGAAGCCCCTGTTCGTGCGATGTTCCTATATTTTTTGGGCCTCCGACACAGTCTAGCGTGTCACTTCCATACGCGAAGTATCAGGGCCATGTATCATGGCCAACTGTTCTTCTGGCTGCAGGACTACTTAGATTGCAGAGCACTGCACAAAAGTCAGCGGGTTTGCTCGACTTGAAGGTAACTATCATCCAGTGCATCATGAGGAGCGATTCTGAGTCTTCTGCTATTCCCCCATTGAGGCTCGGCTCCCCAAACCTACTTCAGGTTGACGATGTCGAGCTACAGAAAGTTGTGACTTCGGAAAAAGAACCAGCTGCACTGCAAGGTGATCCCGGATTGCTTGCAGAGCAGGTGAACAACAACGAACTAGAAATTAACTTGGATTAAGGCCCAGATATATTTCTCTTTTCTGTATGCCTTACTCAACTTTCCTACGCGACCATGGAGGGAGGCCTGAATCTAATATTGGCTGACTAGCTAGATACCTTCTGCAGTTGTCCAAAAGATCCCTCCAGAACCTACGCAATGCTGAACTTCATGCACAGACAAATAAGTGCCATCACTCCGAAACTCTTCTTGAAGCAGTACAACACCTATTTGCCACCTCTCATAGAGGTTCACAACGCCAATGCACCGTCATACCCGAAAGGGGTGTGAGCTTCTCAGGGAAAATATAAGGGGCGAGCAACGGAGAGCTTTGTAGGGGAACGACAAAGCTCTACGTGGATAGGTTGAAAGACATCGGGCTTTTCCCCCTTAGGTCTCGTACGGTAAGGGTGACTTGATAATGACCTATAAAATACTAAGTAATCCAAGTCGTCCGAAGGGTGGAATCCTAACAAACGGCAACTACAACAATCCTTGTGGTATCCCGGGGATACTCGCCCGTCAAAGGGCGGAAAGACATGTGCGTCCACACTTTACCTCTTTTTGAGTTCGCGTCCACTGGGACCCATTACCTGCCGAGATTACTACTGCCGTTGGCGGCTTCAGTGAGAGGCTGGAGTGAAACGCAGCGGCGTACGGCTTGCTGTCAACCAGCTGGGATACAGAACAGACTAAAACAACCAACTGATTCCGTACCATTCCATCTCGGTCAACCCTCACCGTCTTTGCACTGCCACCATTATCATTAGCTTGATCTAACTCAATACTTCCCTGTTAGGCGTCTCCTCCGGTTACCGTGCTTCAAATGATAGCACTATCGACCCCATTCCCATAATTTTACTTGCCCGTTCTCTTTCCCCTGACTCTATGACTTGACCCTATTCATAAAGGTCCCCTCATAATTCTATCAGGGTTTCTTCTGTACCGTTTGGCTTCCTTCACCCCGTGTTTTGCTCTCCGAAGCTCTTCCACCTTGATTTCCCTGGACATCTTTTCTATCTTTCTCTGAAAGCAGCCCGAATGACTATCTGGTGACACGACACTTAAGGCGCCCGTCTGCACCACTGCACTTTGAAAAGCCACACAACCCCTACAAATCTAATCAACACCCGAACGCCCATTGGGTTAACTACAGCCACAGGAGGCGAGTGGGAAGACCTGTTGCACCAGAACAAACCAAAGACTTGGAATCGTTTCGCCAGACTCAGACGTGAGCATGAAAAAATCAGTCAGCATATATCAGCTCGTAAAAGGACATTGGACGCTGGAAATCCGCTAAGTGGATCGCCACGATAGGTCAACATTATCCCTCCAAAACTGACAGTCTTCTAAAGTAAATATTCGCATACCCCTCCACAGAGCGGGGACGAAAGTTAGATCTGACTTCTTCTTACATAGGGTGTGTACCTCATGCAACGCTCCGCCAAAGGGTGTAGCCACAACTACATCGACTGACTCCTTCAAATGACCATTCGATGAGTACGTGAGCGCAAACGATTCACTGCGAACACTCACCTGGAGCAACTCAAGGCAGTTTCATCCATCTCTCTGTCTCAAACCCTAGTATCCGCAAGGAGACATTTCTTCTCCTTTTTACTGCCAGGAACACTCATTTTTCCATCAGTACTTTTCATTCCTCTTTCGTTTCCCACTTATCCTATTTCCAGTACTTTTGAAGTGGCACTTACTGCTTACTTGGGAGTACTTGCAAAAGACAGGAACTGTAAAAGGTTAGCTCATCTCATCAGCACCTCAGCTGCCCACCAAGCGAACGGGGCCATAATTTGCAAGAAAACAACCTTCAAATAAGCAATCATGGATTGCAAAGCAATAAGGAGATAAAATATTAAGCCATCTATAAACACCAAAGGAGTATAACTGAACGAAACAAACCGAGCCTCAAGACCTAGAAGCAGGAGCTCAAAAGTTTTCCGTACTTGTATTATTGTTGTTTGAAGTTTGAAAGTTGTTGGCGAGGAATTTTCACTCGATTACGCTACCGTCAGGAAAATGAGTGGAAAGCTCTCGAAGAAGGCAGTGGGTACGTTTTTTCTATGCTTTCATCGATGTATCAATTTTAGGTGTCAAGAGAAAGTTAAATGATGCTTCTCGACCGAAGGTGTCAGTGAAAAAACGTAAATTTTACTTGATATAAGTGATGTTTCAAGCCAAGTTATTACCCTCTGTTAGGTTATCTGACCAGCCTCCAGTTCGTAAACCTCAGTGGACAAACAGAGAGCGTGTTTTAGTCATTTCCTCTAGAGGTGTCTCGTATGTTGGTCGTCACCTGATGAAAGATCTGATGCGCATGCTGCCGCATGCCAAAACAGACTCCAAGCTTGATCACAAGAAGGGGATAACAACGTTGAACGAGCTAGCAGAGATGAGTCATACAAACAAGGTACTTTCCGCACGATTTTTCGCCTTCAAAAGTTTAAACAGGGAGGACACCAGCTTTCTCAGTGTCATGAACACATTTAACTTCTCTTGATGCTCAGCATCGAGTGGTCACCAACTGACTCAGTGACTAGAAGGATTGGGGAAGGATGAGTTCCTGTAAAAATTTCATGCGATTCTTCTAAGTAGGACTAATACAACAGCTATGGTAGAATGGCATGGAATAGTCACCGAGTGATCCATCGACTTATCCTCTCTGTATTTAAATATATGGAGAGAAATTGTATAAAGTTTCTAAAGAAACGCATACCTGCCCAATCTTTCAAACTACCCAATTATCTGGTGGCTACCTGATGCAGAAAATCAAGGGAAGCCGAATAGATACATGCTATTCTGCCGGCAGTTTACTGGCAACTTATTAGGCTTAGTACGACAATGGTTTAAATTGATGGCCAACTGTAGTTAGAATGATTGTTTTTCGAATTTCTCTAAATAAGTGATGGTGTATACTTTCACCGAGAGCCTGCCGTAGCCACAGTGTAATGTTTCGCTCATTAGCTTTTCAGAAAAATGCGAATTTCGCGTATGCAGTGAGCAGTTCCCTTGAAGTGTACAGTTTTTGCCAGATATAAAACATTAGAAATTTGAGCATGTGTTCTTATTTTTCACCCTCTTTCAGTGTTTCAAAGCTACATTAAAGGGCTGTAGTATTGTGTGATTGTCTAACAGTAATGAGAAATCTCATACCACATTGCTATTACCATCATGTTCATGGTGTCAGGTTCTCTTACTGTTCCGCAAGGCGTCGTAAAACCATTTGTTAGCATTGTGTAAAAGTGTAAAGTGTCTTAGAGGTCATAGTCAGACCGGTTAAAATGTATTACCTAGAATCTCTGGAGTAAAATGTTCGTTCGTTAATTTTTGATGGGAGATAATTGCTTTTTTCTGATGACGGTTATTGTGGTATAAGGTTTCGTGAGTTACGCCGTAAGGAGGCGACAAACCGTAAGTTTTAGGTTCTTCAGTCTAGTTTAGTATTGAGAACTAGGCATAATGATCATGCTTTAGAATTGGTTATTACTGTCTGATTATCGATCCCTGAAGTTAACTGTTTCTTAGTAGTGTAAAAAGCCAATGTTTTCAGCGTTTCAGTTAGACAGAATACCCCCTCGAACTTCCTTTATCCCCAACCTCACCGTAAGCTTCGAAACCACTTAGAATTTCAAGATAATATTTAGTAGTCGAGATGAACTGCTCTACTTAGTACATGTCAACTGTCACAATAACTCAGATGTGTCCACTTGCATTGTCTACAGTCTTGAACATCTTATTATTCCCCACTTATATGTTCCAATTCCTTTAATGTTATTGGTTATATTGACATTTTCCCATTTCTTTTCCTTTTTCCGTCTTTATATGGTTAGTTTTATCGGTTAGTTTGTCGAAAATTTACACTTGGAATAATTATTTAACCCTGTTTTTCGGCATGTTTATGAATAAAGTATGTGTCTGTTTCAATCCAGCTGTGACTGTGTACATGATCAAAATGCTATTCAGAAAAGTAGTTAATAAAATCTTTAAAAGGTGGTTGTGAAAATGTATTTTCTCTATCTCTACATTTTTCCACAAATTGCACTTTAGTTCATTATTATATCTACGCCACGTTAAGTTTTTATCTTCACTGTATTTCAACTTATGTGTTATCTGTAGTTGTCTAATTCATAGTAATAAGGATGCTTCAGGATCGTCGGAAGAGTATTTTCCGAATATTGAATGGTGTATGATGATTAGTGTTACTAAAAAAGACATCTACAAATATCCCATATTGCTTCTTAACACTTTATGACATTTGTCGGCAGTAAAATATTTTCTTTATTACAAATAAACAGTACTCTGGGAAAACATTGACACGTCTGGTTTTCGTTAAAAATTGCCTCAACTTTCATACATCAGAATATGCATTTGACGGAAAGATTGAAGTAGTCTTTCCAACCAAGAAATCACTCGGTAATCTCGATAATAAGTAATGTACCTAAAAGCTTTTAGACTTGTCAGTTTCTTGAGGAGGGAGATTATGAGATATTTTAGAAGTTGTTTTTCGGACGATGTGTCACTTATCGTAAACAATATTCAACATGCATTTTCGCCTTTTTCATGCTGTAATACACGGGAAACATTTTATTAACTGGTATTTAACAACTAATAATTTTGGTTGTTATTCTGCTGAAATGTATTCAGAATAATATTCGATTTCTAATTATTTTAAAGGTCCTTTATTTCGAAGCTCGCAAGAAGAAAGACTTGTACCTATGGCTTAGCTGTGTACCCAATGGACCATCAGTTAAATTTCTTGTTGAAAATATTCGTACTACAGCAGAAATGAAATTGACTGGAAATTGTCTAAAATACAGTCGTCCTGTACTTGCTTTTGATCCATCATTTGAGGAATCAAACAAACCCCATATTCACCTGCTTCGTGAATTATTTGTACAAACTATGGGCACTCCAAATCATCATCCACGTTCACAACCATTTATAGATAAAACGTTTACATTTGTTCACTTCAATGATCGTATATGGTTCAGAGTTTATCAAATTGCCGAAGAAAGCGGTGCATTAGTTGAAGTTGGTGAGTATATGTGTGAAGTCCACATATTTTTTAATTTTCTTAAAAACCAATTACTTCAGATTCTTCTTCAAGATTATCTTCCATAAAACTAAAATTATGAAGGCATATTAATATAATAAAGCATACGGGGATTAGATTATCATTATTTTTCACTAGGCGTCTGAATGAAATTCGGGAACAGCAAACCGTGGAAACCCAGGTAGGCTTCAAACCTGATCTTAGGTGCATCGACTAGACATTCACTCTGCCAGATTTTAGATCACAGGCACACTTGCCAACGCCCGTTAATGGTTGTATTTCTTGACCTGAAGGCAGCAGCATTCAATTTCATCGACTGAAAGGTCTTACAGCAGTGTCTTTCACTGAAGAGAGTGCCTAATAAGTACATCACTGTCGGAGGCTTTGTATCTAGACACCCGTAGTCGTCTTAAATCTTATGGCCAGTTTTCAGGTGAGTTGTGTACATCAAGTGGTGTTAGTCAAAAATATCCACTGTCTCCATTCTTATTTAACTTTATGATTGGTGTTCTTATGCAAGTCTCCTCCTCGTCGTCTGACTTCACAGGGATTGATCTTGTCGGAGGAGACAACAGTCCTGTTAGGTGAAGACGGTGGAAAATTGCAGAGTTTACCGAATACGGGTGACAGTCAGAGAATAGGATGCGTCTCTCGCCATCTGAATTCAGATTGTTGCTCCAAGGCTGGTCGTCATTGGTGCCCTATCTCACAATAGGAAGTGAAGTGGTTGAGCGCGCTAACCACTTTACTTACCTGGGAAATTGGACCAGACGTATCAGGTCAGTGGTCGGCGAAATCTCTGCTGGGACACAAAAGGGTCAATTGGCTTTCTCCAACTTACACCATCATTGATGCAGCTGTGATATCAGATTGTCTACCATATATACTATGCGGCTGTGAAACGGCCATTAAATGTAGGAGATATAAAAAGGCTTCAGGTGTTTGATCACTGTTGTCTACGTAGCATAGGACGTCTGTTACTGTATGTCACCAAGTGAGTAATGCAGAAATCTGGTGTGCAGTTTTAGAGATGAAAGAAAGTCAGTTGACAAGGTTGTGAACTTTCATGAACTGAGGCGGCTGGGACATTTGTTACCCATCCCCTTTCACCGTCTGCCTCGTCGCACAATTTTATTGAAGTCAGGTCACGGCCAAAAATGAGTTTGGGGCGGCTAACTAGAGCATGGCATCATTGCAGGAAGCTATTGGTTATTAATGTAAGCCATGTAGAGGAATGTGGACTACCAAGTTGGGGTTCGCCTGACAGCAGAAACCAGTGGTTGGAGACTCTAGGTGACAGGGTTCAGAAATAATGCCAGCGGCGCAGGTGTATCAACACACCTTCCTCATCTTGATGGTCATACTGAATTCAGCATTTTCTTATTCCTCTTCTTTTACTACTTGCCACTATTTCTCACCGGTTATTTGTTTATTCCTTTCTCTCATCTTATCGCTTTGTTGGTTGATGTACTAATGTGAGGTGTGCAGCTTGGGCCATTATGCAGCTATATCGGGTCTGTTTATTAAAAATGTCACACAGTAAAACAGCATCATTTACTGGATAACGTTTTGGACACAATTTATCGCCCATATTCATATAAGGTAACTCCGCAACGCCGAGACAGAGTTTATATATTCCTAATTTTCTCTCCTTCTCTGTGATGACAAGGGTAATAGAATTTTCCAAATATCTGGGACAGGCGCAGAATCATTTCGATTGCATGCATTTGGTGTTGATTCAATGAACAAAGATTCGGTTATCGATCTCTCCCTCCACCCAACTAAGTTTTTAACGCTGTGGCTCTATCCCACCCTACTATGTGATTGTGTAGAAAACTATAGCCAAGTTTTCCCTACATTTCTAACCTTATTAGGATCTACTAATATTGATTTAGCTACTTTTTTGTGCTCTGTTATTCTAATCGATCCTGGTCGACTTCTTTGACCTATGTATTTAACCTCGCAATCATTGCAAGGGATTTGATAAACCAGGTTATTTTGCTTAGTTGCATCGATAGGATCTTTTAACCTACAAAGCTCGTTTCTAATCGAGTTTGTTGGTTTAAATCCCACTTTAATACCACCCAGTCTTATTCAGAATTCTTCGTTATGCTTCCGAGGTGCCTTCCTTGTATGGTAACACAGCAGAGGCTTTGAATTCTCTCTTAACCCCGTAACCATTATTGCTATCAGTATTAGAATTGTTATTAGTAGCAACTGTTTTACTACTACCACTAGTGCTAATATTTTTCTTTCTATTTCTTAAGAATTTATTTGTAAATTTAGGTGGGTGATTATTGTGACGCAAGATATTCTCGATGTATCTGATTTCTTGTCACGCTTAGAAACGAGCTTTGTAGGTTAAAAGATCCTACGATGCAACTAAGCAAAATAACCTGGTTTATCAAATCCCTTGCAATGATTGCGAGGTTAAATACATAGGTCAAAGAAGTCGACCAGGATCGATTAGAATAACAGAGCACAAAAAAGTAGCTAAATCAATATTAGTAGATCCTAATAAGGTTAGAAATGTAGGGGAAAACTTGGCTATAGTTTTCTACACAATCACATAGTAGGGTGGGATAGAGCCACAGCGTTAAAAACTTAGTTGGGTGGAGGGAGAGATCGATAACCGAATCTTTGTTCATTGAATCAACACCAAATGCATGCAATCGAAATGATTCTGCACCTGTCCCAGATATTTGGAAAATTCTATTACCCTTGTCATCACAGAGAAGGAGAGAAAATTAGGAATATATAAACTCTGTCTCGGCGTTGCGGAGTTACCTTATATGAATATGGGCGATAAATTGTGTCCAAAACGTTATCCAGTAAATGATGCTGTTTTACTGTGTGACGTTTTTAATAAACAGACTAGAATGGAATTACAATCTATTACAGTGTCCAAGTTTTACTCGTACATATATCAGGTCTTGTGTTTACCTTTTTATGGTTGCTTTTGTTTTGTATCTTTGCCCACCTTCTATCTACATTGATCTTTCGAGTAACAGTGCTGACCTGGTGCAACGATTCCACTGGTTTAGACAGTTGCTTTTAAACGTCTAGGCCATGGGTTTGAACCGTACTCCACATACTCAGGTTTCGGCAACCTGGTAATGTCATAGTTGTCATGCATTAGGTATACTTCATTGCTTAATATACGAACGTGTGTTTTTTGAGTTGGACTACTGTTTTTGTTTTTCCACTAAACCTCAGCGCAACAACAGCTTTGTTTTTCAGGTTGAGACGGACGATGGAAGTTTTTACCTTTACAACCTAGCGGTTTTCAGTCGATAAGTCACAACTCCATAACACAGTGTTTGGTTATTACCGATAGCTTTTCATACTACTAGAAACTGAAAATAGGTACTTTCATATATTTACTGTTTTTGAACATGGAATCACTAAAAGAAGTTGTAACTTATTACCAGTGATTTTTCACAAACTCAGTGGTATCAAGTCGATACATTGGGATAATTTAGTCAAAATAAATCAAAACACCTTTATGAAAGTTAATGAATTCCCAGTGAGACAATCTGCGTTTTATGCTGTTGTTTTCTTTTGTACGACTCTATAAGGTGTAGAGTTGTGGCTCAGTTATCTTGGTACTTAATTCAAAACCACTGAGGCACGGGTTTGTCTTTCAATTCATTTTGGTCTATTTAGTAAACTCACTATCCGTATGTGTGACTATTTGATCTAGTCTGTTTTCCTTTAAGCGACTATTAATATACTAGCAAGAATAATATTTTGGTATGGGATTAATTCGAATGTTTTTGTAATGAAACTCTTCAGGTCCGCGTTTCTCATTAAATCCAATCCGTATATTTGCTGGGAGCTTCTCTGGCATAGTGTTGTACTCTAATCCGAAATACATCTCACCCAATTTAGTAAGTCCTTTGGATTATTTCCTTGTATAATTCTTGCTCTTACGTTTTTATCCTTATTGATGCGAAAAGTATGCGTCACAAGTCATACTTCATGTGCCTTGAATCGAAGCTGTCAGAACAGGGAATAACTTGCCTAACCTTCTTCGACCTGAACGGCTCGGTAGTATCATAAGTCCCCATACAATGTGTGACTGACAGCATAAATCACAGATCTGCACCGGGTTGAGTTACTTTTTTATTCTATCATCGAATATCTTGCCTTGTTGTTTGATTTTCTCAGATTTATAATTCGAGGTATAGCAGTGTATAATTTCTGCATGCATTTTTGTCGGGATGTGAATAACGTTGGTTGAGACTTACTTTGGGCATGAACCGTAAAGTTGAAATCAGTATATAAACATAGATTAGGTCAGTTCGACACAGTTACATTGTAATACATAATGCAATCAAGTGTAAATAACTGATATCAGCCACTTGTGATTGCATATTTGTAGCTGTAATGCACTAAGAAATCGTGATATGAAATATCCACATAAGCATTTGGAGAAGTATGATTAATCTGGATGAAAATGTACACATGAACTCATCCTTGATGATGCAGAACTGGAAAACGATGAGATTTCTCTGTCATGACGGTTGTTTAGTTGACTTTAGGTTTAGGAAGGACATCATCACCTCAAGTAGCTATATCCTAATTAGGACTTACTGATCACATTCACTGTTGGCAACACTGCTATACTAACATGACAGTGTATGCTTGGTTTTAAAACACAATTACCCTTTAGGTATTACTCTCATCGTATAGGAAAGTCGGCGTTTTTAATCAGACATATTTTAGTGGCGCTGTGTTCATCTAGTGGCAAAGCGACTGAAAGTAAACTCTGGTCTTGTAATGTTTTACAGTAAAAAGTAGAGAGCATTGTTTAAAAAGTGTAACTGCTTCACACCATTGACTTTAATCTATTGGATATGTTTGCTTATATTGAGGTTTAGTTACTCTATAAATCAAGGTTTTGATTGGTAATATTTTCTCTGTCACGTTCAATATTATCAATGCAACCTTATGTACGTAAACTTGGTTTCCACTTAAAGGACTGTTTACTAAGACTGAAACAGAAAAACTAATAGGTCGTCGGCCTAGTACACAATACGATGAAATACAGGATCGATTTTAACAGTTTAAAAACCTTTCATTTATCTAAGGAAATCCCTTATATGCATGATCTGGCCAGTTATTATATAAGAATGATGATGGGAATAGCTCTTTGATATCATCTAGAATTAGTTTAAGATATTCATTTGCATCTTGAACTATCATTTAATATCGGTATTTGCTAAACGCCATTTCCAGTGACTTTTAGCTTCCTGGAGTTCCAATCAGTGTCTAGACCTTGGTTCCTTTTATTGTCAACATTAGTCACCAGCTAATTAAGGGTTTTTAGTACTTGTTGAACAGAGCACTTGTACAGATTAGAAGCGTATTTGACGCCTCCATATTTGCAAATTTTCTTGTTTGTGTCTTGCAATACTGAGAACCTTCCTAACCAATATATGAATATTGTGATATTACTGCAGCTCTTCGATCGTCAAATGGCTAATACTGTCATTACTCTAGTATTTGGTTGCATTCTAACGATTAGTTACGCCACCATAACACATTAGGCTGGCTCAAAATGTTAAAATATACCAATCAAGAAATTGATAGCATTCAATGTCAATTTAATTTTAGTCTTTAGAGTTTATCGCAGCACTCACTTGTTGAGGTAATTATTTATTTACGACTCTCGTTGTTACTTTAATTGTTCTTCAGTAGTGAGTTTGTTTTGTTTCTTTTGCATTTCAGGTTCGAAGCACGCTGTTGTCTAGTAAGCAAAGCAGATACATAGAACGTACACATGACAAAATGGAATCACGTAAACGTAAAAAGGCGAGGAAAGAAATTTATCCAGTTGATGAACTAGATGAAATTTTTGAATAAATGGTTATTCTTATGACGAAGTCGGGATTTGTGTTACTTTAATAGTTTTAATTATGTCATATAACCATGGTATCCAAAAAATAAATGGTGGGGGTACAGTGTGGTATGTGCTTTGCACCATCGAAGTACAAAATAACTTCGAAAGATTGGCAAGAGCCTGGGCGTGCTGTCACTCTTGTTGGTGAGCCGTTGAAGCAGTCGAAAAGTTCGTATATCTGGGTAGTTGTGTGAGTGCCTGGGTTACGAAATTTTTAACCGCGTATCGAAAGCTAGAGTGGGGCGTCGCGACGTTAGTTTGACCGTAAAAAGCCGGGTTTACAACGCTTCGGTGCGAGTGGTTCTGCTCCACGCCCGTAAAACCTGGCCTCTCCCAACTGAGGATTTGCGACTACTGTTTGTTCGATCATCCTTATCTCCTTAGGATTGCTCGTATCCGTTGGCAATACCATGTAAGTAGTCCTGAGGTACGACAGCGTGTGTTTGGGCATGATGAACGTCATTATTCAATAAGTGAAGTCATCTAAAAATCGGCCTCGGTGGTTTAGACATGTTTTACGTATGTCGTCCCAAGGGCTTCCATACCGTCCAGTGTTTGCTAGCGCTGGTACTGGGTGGAGAAAGCGGAGGGATGATCAGTGTGTGGTGTGGTACCGTGGAATGAAAGATAGTTATATCAGGTTAGAATTTGTTAGTGCCTCACTACTCCCTGGGTGGGGTCCGAGAGATCACGCAATTCGGTGACCTGAGACGTTATTAGACATGGCTCAGAACAGAAACCACTTGATTCTAACCTATTTCGTAAAGTCTTCAGCTTGCAATTGCAAGTTAGTTAGTTATGGTGCATTTGTTTTCAAATACGTTGCTTCATCTTTGTAACTAGTATTCCATAGTTTGTTTAGGTATCTGAATTTGCTGGCAAAAACCTAGAGATGGTATTGGCAGGTCTACTTTAGACCGCTATTGTATTCATTTATCAAAGGCATTTGTGGAACTCTGGAACACTGTTGATGATGTCCAGCATGATGCTGAAACGTTTGCCAACTCACTCTGAACACTCCAAACTCTGAGCTACAAATATTCACCACAATTTTGTCATGAGAGTATCAGTTCGTTACTGATTGCATCTAAAAGATTAGTCACTATCATTCCTCATAGACGTCCCGAATATGTGACAAGCTCATCTTTTGGTGTAGATGGGTTTTATTGAATTGCGGAGAAACTTACCACAAGGATTTCATGGTTTGGAAATAATTAAGTGTATGATAGTCATTATTTTTGTATTTGCATTTCTGTGAATGAATGAAAGGCGAACCAAGTTTATCTTTACTATGACAACCTTTTTGTTTTCAATTCATTGGGAGATAAAAATACAGGAATAGCGAACCTACCGTGTGTTCCTTATCGGTGAGATGCTTGTACACAATTGCACGTATTGAGGATCCCAAATTGTTGCATGTTATAACATTACGAATACCTTCAGTTTATTGTATAGGATGGAGCGCTGCATTAGTCTTGGGACTGAGATGTCTCTGAGAAGTGTGATAATTTTTGGAAAATCCCAAGAAAAGCACGAGATATTTCGAATAGATAAAAACACTTATTTCTTCTGTTTGAAGCAAGCAGTGAGACTAAGCAGGATTGCCCGATTTAAACATTTCATTTTTTTAACTTTGCCATTGAGACAGTTGTGAAGTTGGTGCGTAATTAGTATGTAGATCTGCTCTCCGGAAGAGCACATCGACTTCACTGTATGGCAAAATACATGATATTAAAATGAAACGTGAGTCAGCGACTAATGTCCATCGAAATATACAATGTTCCCACAAGACTACTGAAGGCGGTATTTCCATCCGCTATTAGTATTTGTTTGGACATTGATGGTAATGTGAAGAATAAGATTGTTTATTACACAGCAACACACATCTTTCAGATGTTGATCAGGCTAAAAGACTGTATGCACAACACTTTAATACCAATGATTCTACTTTACACCTGTGAGACATGGTTCATTTTAGCTGGTGGTGTTTGTTACGTTTGTATGGAATACCACCGTTTCGGCAGAGTCGCCTATACCTGATCTTGAGCTCTCGGAGTTCGTATTTTTAAATCTTAGGTGTCCTTGTTCGCAATTTCATCTTAGTGACATAAAAACATTTGATGCATTTCGTCTCAGGGGACGAGTTAACCTAGAATCTGGTGCAGAAATGCAATGGTTGGACTTACCAGACTTCACAGCAGCATGCAAAAAAGTGAAGAGATTGGCGTTTAAATAAACAAAAGTGTATCTGATAATATGCAATAACGAGAAATGAAAATGCTTAAAAGTTTGAAACTGAAAAAAGTGTATATAACTGTGTTCATGTGAGTGATTTTGAGGTATATCATCAAGAATTTCCTATTATTAATTTGTAAAACTTTGATTTCATGATACATAGCTCAGAATCGGTACAAGTGACCGCGATGCTGCAGTTTCTTTGGGATTTATCTATTATAGCAGCAGCATGACTCTCCCATGCGACTGCCCCGTTCATTCTTGCTGTACATTTATTCTTTACATGTGTTTTTTGTCAGTCATTTCAGAATACTATTTTGTATTGTGTCTCAGCCTACCAACTTTATGTCTAAATAATGATGATTAAATTACAATCAGTGGAACAAGTTGTTTACTTCTGACATTTTTTGTTGGATAGCTTGTTATCTGAAGGTTGGATGCATTGTGCATTGATGTTGTTTAACTACGGGATAGCTTCCACTTTTTCATATGTGAGGAGGAAGTCAGTCACTTACAGTATTAACCATCATCGATGGAGATGTTTAAAACCAATAAATTATGTTATTAAACGATGGAAAATGTTCATTAAGATATGAGTAAAAGTAAAAATATTTGGTTGAAGAAATTTTTTCGATGGTGTCATTTGTGTTACTACTTATTACGACAGTGAACAGTCTGTTTTCAGTCAGTAGGGTGGAATTGAGTCAACCACGTAATGTTCAAAAAGAGTATAAGAAGCGGTTTCTGAGGATGGAACAGATTATGATCTGACGAAATTAACAAGAGAATTATAGGAACGGAGTATACCCTTGAGAACATCACATTTATCAAGTGGTTCGTCGTTGAAGACAAGATAATTCATATCTGGTAGTCTGTTTGTGGAGCTGAGATCAAGAGGAGTAGGTATTACCTAGACTATGTGACCTACCGAAATTCCACAAAGATGACATCCTTCAGACCAGTTTTAGGTATGCGTAGTTCACCATAAAACATGCAAAATGGCTTGCTCAGCTACTAGAACTAGTGAAAAGAATAGCCTGCTAACATAGTTTGATGCACTTATTTCAGATGAAGACAATAGCACCGAAATGCTATGAGGCTCTCTCGATATGACTTCATTAATTATTTACATCCATCTATTGGGAACGGTAGATGATGTGCGTGAACCTATTACGGATAATTAAATAAATATTGACCTACCGCTGAATGGCTTCAAAGAACCTTTGCTGCATTAAATAGTGATATTTAGTTTATGTTCAGCATTGGAGGTAGCAATAGGCACCCGCTTGAACTTATTCTGGCTGACGTTTTCATGTCCAGGTTAAAAATAACGATCTTAAGACATAAATTGACTCTTGATACATAGTGGTTTAACCCCGCCTGGTTAACTAGTTCGCTAGTTACTAGCCGGTCCTAAGCCCCGATAAAGAGGGAAGGTTGGGAGTAGGGCTAGCAACCCTACCCCGTAAAACAAATCTAACTGCTAAACAAACTTCAAAGCACAAACGATATATAAAAAATAAAAACAAAATTATTCCTCGTTGGAATCGGAGAGGCGAAATGACACCAGTTGGTGAAAGCCTGCCTTCGGGAAGCCAGTTAGCCAATGTGTCTTCTCTCGATGAAAGCGAAAGTAGACGTGGGGACATGGAATGTCCGCACGATGTTTGAACCCAGCAAGGCAGCCCAGATTGCAAAGGAGATGAGAGGTATCACATTGAAGTGCTTGGAATTTGCGAAAGCAGATGGAATGGAAGTGGACTCTCCAAACTGTCAACTGGAGAATCAATGATCTACTCGGGTCACGCAGACGACAACCACGAGCACACTGAGTGTTGGAGTGGCTATCATGATGTCCCCAACAGCATCGAAGGCTCTCATGCAGTGGGAACCAATCTCCTCCAGGATCATGATAGCAAGATTCAACTCAAAGGAAGGAAGGTCGCAATCATGCAATGCTACACTAGGCACCTACAAATAATGGAGATCAGGAGAAGAAGAAAGAATTCTACTGACAACTTCAATCAACACTGGACAAGACACCACCTCAGTTGGCGACATCAAAATTCTAACGGGCGACATGAATGCCGAACTGAGAGCAGCCAACACAGGAAGAGAACTAACCATGGGTCGAGAAGCGGTCAGTGAAATGAACGAGAATGCAGAATTCTGTGCATTCAACAACTTGGTGATTGCAGTGAGGCACTGTGTTCAAGCACAAGGATATCCACAAAGCGACATGCATTTGATTTCACCAGACACCAGGACACACTACACTGAAATTCAGATCGACTCCATCTGAATGTGAAGAAAGTGGAGACGCAGTCAGCCTACTTGACACAAGGTCAAGAAGAGGAGCGCAGATGTAGGCTCAGACCACTATCTAGTGTAAGGAACCTTCCAAATCAAGTTGAAAACCTTCAAGGAAGTTGGTGATAGACGGCGACAGTTCAAGTTCAACACCCAGAGACTGAAGGACTAAACTACAAAGAAAGTCTTCACGTCAACCATCAAGACAAAATGGGAGATATCGAGGAACATCCGTGAAGAAACCTGTGTGGGTGATCAGTGGAAGTCTTTGAAAGCTATGTGGAAAGAAGCCTACATAAGCTTATTAGGAAGGAGGAAGAAAGAAGATTAGAAATGGATCTCAACGGACACATGGAAGCTGACAGAGTCGGGGAGGAGGATGGTGAAGCAGAAGATGAACCAGTGGAAGGATGCTCAACGAGAAGAGGAACTGAGTACAGTGTATAAAACACTAACACTGGACAAAGAAGTGGCGAAAAGTGCACGGAAAGACAAAAGACACCTCTACGACACACT